TAGCCCCGCTCAAGAATGGATGGTGCCGAGTGCCGACGCTGATTTCAATTTAGCCTCCTCCGATTACCTTTGTTTCGCGAGCGAAGTTCGGTCGGTTGCTACCTTTGGAGAAGACGACTAATTAAATTTTTGCATACTCAGTGTGTCGCGTTTATCAATTACGACAACTCAAGTTACCATTTCGTGCAAGCGCCTGAATTTGATTCGTCATATATCTCAAGCTGACATGTGCGACTGCCTCGTAGGTCTACCCACCTTATTACTTGAAAGGCAGTCGTGCTTATTAAAGTTGTGCGAAGTCTGATAGATGATGTAGAGCATATGTTATTTGCATGAAGTCATGGGAAACAATGTTGTCTTGTATAAAACGCTGTGTTTGCGCTTTTTTATTATCATATTGCCAGACGTAATGATCATGCTGGTTCTCCAAGAAATAATATTGTCGGGGTTGTTTTCATGCGTTAAAAAGATGAACATCTATAATTAAACCCTCCGTTAGCGTTGCTTCTTTTGGGGTAATAAGCATTGTATGGCCCCAGTCTAAAATATTGTTTGCCTCAGTTTTCCAAAACTATAGTAATTTGAGTATTGTGAAAAAGGAAAACCGTAAATCAAGAATAAAAATGTTTACTTCATGAAATAAAATGTTTACGGGTATGTACGAAGACAGAAGAATGATCAAAGCAAATTGCAAATTGAAAGCTAAATTTCCTCCAATAAATTAAGGTTAAAGATATTGTGTCCATTGTCATACAATTAATATCGCTGCATGTTAAATTTGTTTGGTCGGTCACACGTCTGGTATGTACAGGGCTTACGTACCACAAGCCAAATCGGACAGCTTGTTATGTTTTTCCAAGCATAGGTGTAGGTGAAGCGAGAAATATTGATCTAGAAGTAATAACAGTTTTAGAGAGAAGCATAAAGTCCGTGGAGCTTGCCAGCCCGGCATTCAAATCAGATGTTGCGGAAAATTGTTTTGGATGACTTCATAAAAGAAGATATAATAACTCGCTACATAATTTCTCGAGATGTAGGCTTGCAGACTTTCAAAGGCATTTGTTGCACAAGGCCCGGAATACAAAAGTTCAAGGGGATTGCCTTGTAGAGGAAAAAGGAAGTGGAGCACAGTCCTCGGTGCATAGAACGTTATACCATCTTTCATTCAATTGGCTTCAACATTAAATCGCAGATAAATATGGCGTGGCTGTATACTTAGTGTAAACGAGGTGAAAGGGCCTTTAATTTGTGAGCAAAATCCACAAAAAAACTATTTCATGTAATTTTTAAACTATCCTCAATTATCAAGTCAAGCGTGAGTTCAGCTCGACCCTCCCCACTGTTTGTAGTGCACAAGGAAGTACCCACGTGCCAACTACAGTGAAGCAAGTTTGACACTTACATATCTCTGGTAACTCAATTAACAGTTTCACCGAGTACGGAGTTTCTACTAAAATTAGCCTCTTCTATCTCACATAGTTGAACGGTCCAGCGATGCACTGTGAGTCTCCCAATTATACAGGTTCCACTATGGGAAAAGCCCGTTCAAACTAACATTTGGAGCTCATAGTAAGGTACTGTGCAGGCAGTCTACAAAATCAAGTAGTAATTCACATAACTTTATCGATTGCCAGATAAAAAATAAAAAAAAACCTGCTCGATATAAACGAACAAAACAAATAATTCAGAAAAATAACGATTTCGAGATTTCAATGCGCAGCTCTAACAATCCCAATCGGCCACACAACCTCAATAATTTGTGTTACTGTGTTTACCAATTTATGCAGCCTGTTCTAAAGACTCAAACAAACGGGTACCGGGGCAAGGCGAAAACAAAGAGGGTTCCACTCAAACGGAACCACTTGTTTGCTCTGCTCCTTCTACACTCTCCGTCGCCATTCATCATGCACGACCGGTTAAATGGCCCGTTCAAAATCGGGCAAAGATTCTCCCGTAAAGCGGGAAGTCCGCAAGCCATGCGCACAACGAGGGAACCGTGCGGTTTCCTCCCTCGTGCGCGAGCGAGAGGCCCGGGCGTCGAGCAAGCCAGTCCACCCGCACGCGGCTGGAACACATGTAGGTCGATAGCGGCAGGCGTGGGCTCCGGTGGCGACGGCAATGTGGAACAGTGGGTGACAACGCTCCTCAATGACCCTCGCCATTAACTTAATGGGGTTTCGGGTAGAGGCCGGGAGCCGGGGGTGTGCCCGAGAAGGTCCTTCTGTGGACTCAAGCTGTCGTCTTGTAAATACGCGGAGACACACACACACACACGCGCGTGCGCACACGCGTACACGAGCGTGCACGAGTACAAACGCACGCATACAAAAAATGAGCATAGAAGCGGTTGGGCAGGACGCGGCGGTCGAGTGCGCACACGCGGTCGGATATTTTGGTCCGCGCCCGTGGTCCGTGTGGTAGTAATAAGTTGGCCGCTGTGTGGTACGAGAAGTTGTGAAAAGGGAAGCGGGGAGAGGGGGGGGGGGCATACGCTGGTCTGCCGGCACGTGCCATTTTTGGGGAAGATGTCGCTTTCCGAAAGGGAAGTCATTTCCTGCAGAAATGAACCGCATGCTGCGTCGATGATGAATGTCGTTGTTGTTCGGTTCGAAGCCTGGTTTTGAGCAGCCTGAGAAGAAGGGGGGCAGGCACATGTCCCGTTTTTTCCTTTGTTGTAGACTAACATCTGGTGGCGCGAGCCGGTGCGCTGTTTCTGATCTAGTGCAAAGACGTTTTGCTAGTTCTGGCTTGGTTACTATTGTGAGACACGTAAACAATGAGTCCACCCCTACAGACAAAAGAGTTCGAGTGCTCAGTGCCTGAAAGGATGTCGAATTGATTAGTACTTTCTTAACGCTAAAGTTACGGCCAGGAGATCTTACTGGATTGACTCTCCGTCAACGGCAGCCTGCAATATGTACACCTATGTGAGCACTAGCGAGCTGTAGGCTGTATATAAAGGTAGCGAAAATTTATCAACTAAGATCTATCCCGTGGCACAGATGGCACCACAAATCGCGGTAAATGCGGTGAAGGAAAGGAAATCCTGGGGACCGGATTGGTCCGGATATTAGTATTCAAAGCCTTATCTAATCGAACTGTTCGACGTTTGCGAGCTTTAACGTTGCATCACGTTTATTTTTGTAAAAAAAAAAGCGATATTACAGATGCTTTGAATCGATTGATTTTCAATTAGTTGTGTTGAATTTGTTTTTCCCCAATCGGATGTACCATCTGGGTAAAAAATTCGTCATGTCCGCAAAACGAGATTCAAAATCAAATATGGTCACGTCTGTCTACCTAACTAGAAGCATTATGAGACAGGACGTGCAGTTTTATGGATGCCTCGTAATGATGCTCTCTTCCGAGTATCCGCAAGGAATCCTCGATTGCTTTGACACACGTATTTGGGTGTCAATATGACTTCATAAAATACCTCGAAAGGCTCGTATTGAACATGCCGTGAATGACGGAAACCGCGTGCTGTGCGCGCTACCCAAGCAAAAGCGTTTTTATTGCCTCGTTCCGCGATCTGCTCTTGCGCTAAACCATATAACGTGGAAGTTGGAGCATACATGGCGCTGGAGCACCCAGAAAACGTCGCCGCTGAAGTAAGGCTGCTCCCTCCCCCGTACCGAAATAATGTCCCCTGCTCTGAGCAGGCACTTTAACGCAGGCGTTGTTATCGCGAAGGACGATATCTCGAAGCCACCCAGGGATCGTTTCGCGCCTCGCTTCGACGTCGCGATCAGGCGCGTGTCTGTCTCCCTCGTCCGCAGGCGCGTCGTCGCGGTCGCACCGCGGGCCTATTACGTGGTTAGCGTAGCGGAATGGGTCGACCGTAAACAGAACGCCGTCCCGTCGCCAATTGATGAGCTGCCGTCGCGCAGCAGCCCGTCGACGCCGCCGCTTGCGCTTGACACCTTTAATAACGGCCGACGCGTTTTTTTGCTGCCAGTTTTGCATCGTCGATCGTTCATCCCCGAGCGACCGGGCTTTGACGGAGCCCGCCCGCCGACGGCAGAGGTGGCACCGCGGTCGCGCGTTGTTTGTAGCGGCGAGCTCGGGTACGCGGACTTGCTTGATTTTGCGGTTACGACAGCGGGATCCTCCGCGGTTTGAGGCTGAGCGTCAGCGGGGCGGCTGTGGCGGAGAGGGCAAGCTTTCAGGCAGGCAGGCAGGGCAGGCGGGCGGTGGCTAAAATTAGGAAGACGCGCAGGATCCCATCGACTTCGCCTGTCGCATATTTCGGGGGGGGGGGGGGGGGGGGGGGGGAGCTTTCCGAGGGAGACCCGAGCTCCGAGGAAGGGCGCCGCGTCGGCGTGACACGCGCATGCGCGGTGGTGATGTGCGTCGCCGCATCTGTTTGTCATTCCCCGCTTTTGGAAGCTTTATTTCTTATCTTTACGCCTTGTGCTGCTGTCGAGCCTAATATCTTTTCTTGTCTTCGTTTCGCTTCGGTCTTCGTTTTTGAGTTATGCGGTTTTCTGAAGTGTCCGATTTGTTCCTGGCAGCTGCTCGGGTCGTGTTTACAGAATAGCTTTCTTGTCGCTCTTGTTTCGAGCCTTAATCTTAGGACATCAGCGTCAAGCGTGTTTCTTTAGCTCCTTTGAAGACAGCAACATCGCGGTACCTGCAAGTGATTCCCGGTGCGGTAGCATAGTGTATCGCGTCTTTGTGACTACTGCTTTGTTTCTGTTTGTCACATTAGACAACACTGCAGAGCTTAGCCAACAAATGATTGTTGCATGTAGCTGTTAAGCTTTTAACGAATAAGATTATAGCTTGCTTCGAGCCTCCATTGTGACTGAATGGCGACAAGCAGAAACATAGAAACACATAGACACTCGATAACGCAAACATTTTCGTAGAACAGCTTTGAACGTTACATGAAATTACCAAGTGGCGTGCACTATTATAGCGGCCCGTTACGAACAATACGCGGTCTTTGGCGCGAATCGGAGTGTAAAATTTAGAGGTTTAACAAAGAGCGTACTGACCATTTCTAGGGACCCCTGTCTTCTGCATGAGTTCGTTATTCCTCGACTTCGCAGAAGCAAACCCTGAAAAAAGGAGCGACAATCGCCTGTTTCTTATTGGTCCTCACAAATCAAAACGCGCACTCTTTCGTACAATACAATGTGAGCTTTTTCTTTTCTTTTTTGTCTTCTTATTTAGCGCGAGCAGAAATGTACTTTGCTTTCGTATAAATCCGTGAAACTACATTTTTGTTTTATCGTGCTTCGTTCTGAGACCTCGCGTGTCACTATTAAAGAAAACTAAACATCGATAATTAGGAGATTCATGCAGTATAAGTGCATTACATTGCTGTTGCCATTAGAGCGAGTTGTAACATATGTTTCTGTGGCGAGGATGAACTACATGCCGTTCGAAGCGCTTTGAGCCTCTTGTTTGTGTTGAACTATAATAGGTCAGGAAACACAACGTAGCTCAAAACGACGGGTTGAACATAAAAAAAATTTTCATATCACACACGGTTCGTACCGCAACGTTCACGAACTGCCTTCAGGAGGCAATCACGTGACCAGCTCATTTTGGACAAACGTGTTTCAAGCACACATGTACAAGTTACTGAAAAAAAGTAACCGATTAGAATTACAATTACTCAACTGTAAAAAGTAACCGACTAGAATTACAATTACATCCTGAAAAAAGTAGTCGAAAAAGTACTCTAAAGTAATCGATTTTTCCCACGCTACTTTTCATACACCTCTTTTTATTACGGTGGCATAATCCTTGGAATCTCGCGCACCGTCGATACATAAAAAAAAGACAAAGTCTTTACCGTTTGTGCTTAGAGCTGTGTGAGAAACGCCAAGACACCCAATCGTTCTCGTGAAAACAATATAATGAATAAAAAAGAGCGCTGTTTAAATACATTACTCACAAGAAGCTGGATAAGGTAATTTTTTCATACCCTGACGTAGTTACCAGTGTACAAAAAAAAAATGTACCCAGGAAACAAAGCAAAGTGCAGTGGCCTACTAATCCTCAAAATCCCGTGCTTAGTAATTAAAAAAAAAATACAAATTGACCGTCGCCTAGAGCTGAGTGACTCCAGCACATCTAACACCTCCCCTACCCCCCCCCCCCCCTAAAAAATAAAAAAAAAGAAGACAAATTGGAAAAATTGTAGTGGGTAATTTTGAGATCGATTACAGCAAAAAAGTAATTCACTTACAACGATCGTTACCCCTTAAAGGAAGTAATTGGAGCGTTACAAAATTCCAGTAAAATGTAATTGATTACAAGTAATCCATTACTTGTAACGCGTGACGTTCAAATCTGGTTTCAAGCACCTATAGACGGACTGTTGTCCGTGCAACTATAGACACTTTTTCTGAGAAGAGCTGTGCGCGAGCCCAGTTTTGACGCCTCGACGTGTTCACCCTCCTTTCTTTTCTTTTTTTCTTCTACTGCACTGGTCACGTGATCTGAAAATCCTTCTTGTTTCTTAATGCTCAAATTCATCATAAAACGCAAAAAAAAACGCAGGTGGTTGTTGTTTGGCACTTGGTTACCTCTAGCAACGTGCAACGCCGCTCACGGGATACGAAGTCTCTCGTAATGCTATGGTAATAGGCTAATTAAGAGCACTGAAAATCCAAATGATTCCCGTTCAAATAGCCGAGACGTCTTCTAGAGTTGCCTCCGGTGAATTTGCGCGTCCGTAAAACTGTTCTCGTTAAGGACCATAAAGTGGAATAACTCTGAACCACGTGAAGAGATAAAAGAGATAGGTATTAACGGACAATATTAAAAGTAAAAAAAAAGTTCGATCATTTGCAACTTGCCACTCCAGCATTTTCCTTAAAGGGATACTTCAACGAAATTTGAAATATTCCCGTCGTGTTCAAAAATAGGTTGAATATGATCCACAATATCCGTAAATGACAATCGCACGTTTGTATTTTCATCCTGGTGGCTGTATTTTTCGTTATAAACGGCCCACTCTGGCAAGCGCTCGGAGAAGGCCCAGCTTAGAGCACGTGACATCCAACGCAATCGTGACGTAGGTCGTCTCAAGACGAGCAAAGCTACGGCGAGGCTGACGTCGAGAGGATGGCCTAGTCGTTCCAGCCACCGAAGTGGCTGCTTTTGTACGAATTTTGAGTGACGGGTTAATCTTCTATAATCTTCTAGGGGGACAATAGCGACTTCTGCGACACACAGAAGGGATTCTCGGGAAGAGGAGAGTTCCTCCTTCCCCCCTTCTCTCGTCGTGGCCGGAAACGAGACAACCTCCGTCACAAGCTGTCAAGGTTCCTAGACGAGCATTACAAACGAGGCGTTAGCGACATCCACCAGGTGCTCTCTGCTAATCGTTTAATTCGTTTTAAAATTCCTTTTCGATACTTTTTTAACAAGATATTGGTATGTTCCATGTGATACTGATCTTTTGAACACATATAGACCAAAAAATGAGCGCCGAAATTTCGTTGTAGTATCCCTTTAAAAAGTCATGTTCATAAATATACCCTCATTATCTTCATAAAGATCTTGAAAGCCATCTCATTCAATGACGTTGTGTGTTTTAGAGCAAAACAAAACATATTCGACCAGCAGTAACAGTTACCTTATATTATTCTTAGGTGCCGTAAGATTCCGATCACGCCCATGTTTATTATACTAACAAGGTTTTTGGAAGTTTCATAATTTCAAAACTTCGAACCCAAAGAAAGCGTAAATTTCTTCCAGATCATGAAGCTATCACTTGGACAAATATTTGTTCGCGATATTTACCATGCGTCCTTATTATTACAACATTTATTTTCAGATCGGAAATAATGCGGTAGCGTTTAGGGCCAACCAACCTCAGGAGCGGCGTAAGCACAAAATGTGTAGGTCGGTCAGTCTGGTAACCGCTAAACGATCCAACTACAAGTGATTCCAGGGATCGAATTTCGGCCACCAGTGTGGAAGCCAAGTGCGTTGCTAATTGAGCTACTGACCAAGCACGCAGGAACGGGAGGGGCAGCAAATGTGAGAAAGCTCGCGGAGCGGAGCGGAAAGGCCAAGAAAGAGAGGAGCAGAAATAGGTGGGTGTAGAAAGACAGTGCGAAACAAGAACTTTAAAAAGACAGGAAAGCGAGCTTACTGCTCCCTTGGTGATCCAGAAATTTCAGCGCAAAGGTTTTGTATCCGGGTGGTGCTAAAGGGAAGCGCGCGCAGCTTAAAAAAAAAAAAAAGGGGGCAGTTGTGTGACCTAATCAGTTTTCATTTCAGTACCGTGCCCTAGGCAACACCTGAACTAACAGCACAACACACTCCAGACACTAAATGACTAAGGTTCTTCCTGCACTAGCCAGGAAGAATCTTATAAATCTACCACATTTAAACACGTTTAATAAAATGACCAAACATGCCGTTTTTTAAAAAATAACTGCTTGCAGATATTAGACATGCATCTTTCTCTCGTTTATAATTTACTGTCCGCACTTCAGCAAAAATCGTGTTTTCTACCTTCCTTAGAGACTACAAATATTCGGACTTCAGATAACATAGCATGGTCATAGATTATTGTTGGATACCATTGATGGAAAGGCAATGCTTGTTAGGTGGACTGCCTGTGTTTGCCGTTAGCGTTTATTGTTAAGCTAAAATTTTCGGAGATCCTGATTGTCGTGCTTGATCTGCAGCCATGGTGTATCGGGGCACGAAACATTAGACAGAGGTAACGAATCAAACATAGACCGATAATGCAAATACAGCCTGTCTGGATTTCTACCATACCTACGGCCATGACCAATGAACACCCTCTGAATGGTATTGGTATCCAACTTTAGGCAGATTAAAATCCCGAGCTTGTTCAAGTTGATTTCTTAGATAATGGCCACATTTTCTATTAAACAATCGTACCAAGGACCTTTCATTTATCCTCGAATTGTTGCTAATTCAGACACGAGAAGAAATGATATGCAGTTGCCCACCAAAAATCTCCAAGATGACCTCGCTTCGTTTCGCTTCACTGAAACGAAGCGAAAATGCGTAATTCGCATAAACAGTCACTAAAAACTCAGTGGGGTTTATTTTGTGGCGTTGTAGACAGTCTAAATAAAGGAACACGACACCGCAAACGTGTTCGCTTCGTTTCGAATACCTCATTCACTCCCGTCCGATTTCACAGCTAATGAAAAGGGGGCCAAGTGCTAGCAAGAGATTTATAGGGCGTGTAGGCTTCACCCACTTTAAGTTCCATTACATTCCACTTCTAGGTCGGAGGTAAAGGTTGCGGCTCGCTGCCTGCAACCCTGCGAATAAAACAAAAAAAAACAACAAAAAACCTTAGACTAAAATGAATAAATAAAGAGAGTAAGGGTGTCTGGCAAGATGAACTGCGCTAAAATAAACCTTTGCTGGCGCGTGCCAAGTTTGTTCGGTGTGTTTGGACGATGCCGTCCTGTTCCGCACCGCTCTCTTCCTGTCAGGCCCGTGACGGCAGGTAGGCGGGGACAGGCCACAGTGACGGGCATTGTGTCAGCCGTTTTCTTTTGGGAACCTCAAATATGTTTCTTTCCGCCCCGCGGTTTGAGCTACCGGGCTCTTTGGCAACTAACTCTCTAATTTGGGATTTATTTAACGTTGCTCTGAAAATAGATGCGGAAAAGTTGTAGAAATGGAATTTCGTTTATTACCCCGGGGTTCAACGTTCATAGGCATGTTATGCACATATGGCTCTGACAGGCGTTAGACTTTTCTGCGACCGAAGACATTCGTGTTAAAACTTAGAAAATTGATCTACATTTGTTTATTTATTTATACACGAGACTTCTGTGCCTACACACGAAGTATTACACGAGGGAGGTAAAAAATATGACTAAACTTCAAATGTGAGCACACCCATGTAATTATGATGTTGCATTTAGCTCGAAGTTTCCGTTGAAACGCACGGAAGGTAATTGATTAGGTGATTTAGTTTCTAACACGCTACACATACTAAAAAAACTGTACTTTTGGGCAATTGCTTGTCTATCAGATACAGCGTGGGCGAAATAAATTGAAGGCACTTTAAACTGACCGCATAAATCGGTTTCTTAGCTTA